GCTCGCTCTGCGCTGCTCTTTCAGAGGAAAGAGTTTGATTCTCAGCCCCGCATGGCAGCTCACAACCACCTGTAACTCTGGCCTCAGAGGCTCTGACACCCTACTCTAGCCTCTTTAGGAATCAGACATACATGAGGGCAAAATACTCATATGCACTGTGCTGGCTAGTTCTTATGTCAACTTGACACAAGCCGGAGTCATCTGAGAGGAGGGAGTCTCAATGGAGAAAATGTCTCCATAAAGTTGGGCTGTAGGCAAGCCTGTAGGGCAATTTCTTAATTAGCAATTGATATAGGAGGACTCAGCTCACTGCGGGCGGTGCCATCCCTGGGCTGGAGGTCCCAGGCATTATAAGAAAACACGCTAAATATGCCATGGAGAGCGTGCCACTGAACATCAATCCTCCATGACCTCCATCAGATCCTGCATCCACATTCCTGTCTCACGTCCCTGCAAGGTAGATAAGCTGTCAGATTAACCCTTTCTTCACCGAGCTGCTCTTGATCAAGGTGTTCTACCACAGCAACAGAAACCTAACTAAGGCACACATAAGATCACAAAAAGAAAATAAATTTAAACATAATAAATAAATCATTTTATGATCTGGAGAGATGGCTCAGGGGTTAAGAGCATGGGCTGCTTTTCCAGAGGACCCGGGTTCAATTCCCAGCAGCCACATGGCAGCTCATAACTGTCTGTAACTCCAGTTCCAGGGGATCTGACACTCTCACACAGACATACATGTGGGCGAGCACAACACCCATGCACATAAAATTTTAAAAAAGAAAGAAACTTTTTAAGAAAATAGGCAAGGTGACTCACAGAGGGAGGGGAGATGTTCATGATGCATGGTTTCGGGCAAAGGACACGTCTCCAGAAAGTGAAATTCCAAAATTAACATAAAGGTCATACAGACCCCCCTTTAGGGGAAGTCCTGGGGATGAGCCCAGGGCATTACAGACACAAGGCAGGTGCTTTACCACTAAGCCACATCCCCAGCCCTTGGTTTTTTTGGAGATGGGGGTCTCACTATGAGGCCAGGCTGGTCTGGCTCTCAAATCATCCTGCTTCCACCTCCCAGTTCTAGAATCACAGTTGTGCACCCACTTCTTAAGCTCCAATATCTCAAAACACAGCCCCGAAGAGGATTTTTCAGACAGCCAATCGACACACAAAGGTGGTCAAATGCAAACAAAGGCACCACGCTGCCGCCATCATCGGTGGTGGCATGTTTATGTACTGTCACCAGGGAAAATGGAGAATGATGAACGCTCAGTCACACAGTGCGGGGAGAAGGCGAGTGGGGCAGCATTTTGACAAAGGCTTGCGGCCTCTGCTAAAACTCAGACACATGACGCAGCAACCCCACTCCACAGAACACACCCATGAAAGCGTCAAAACAAGGTCAGGAAAGTTACACGAAACAGTGTTCTCGGTACAATGACTTATAACAACAAGATCCAGTGCCCACCTACATTTGACGGGTACGTAAACTGTCATGAGACTGAACGCCACACAACCACATGGATCTTATAAAGACACCAGGCAAAAGGCATCAGGTGTGACACCACACAATATAACACCATTTCTATGTGCAAAGGTTGGGGGGTTAGTGACTGGAAGAGAGGCAGTGTCAGGATAGGGAGCCGGTTATACAAGTGTGTTTAGCCGGTTATACAAGTGTGTTTACTTTGGGAAAATTCAGACAAACAAGACTTATAATTTGTGCAAGTCACAAGAGTATGTATGTGCAGGTTACACTTTTACACTTTTGTAAAACGTTCTTGAAGTTAGGGGCATGCTTCAGTGGTAGAGTCTCTGCCTAGAACTCCCCAGTGAGGGCTGGGGTGTGGCTTGGTGGTAGAGTCCCTGCCTAGAATTCCCCAGTGAGGGGCTAGGGTGTGGCTCAGTGGTAGAACCCCTGCCTAGAATCCCCCAGTGAGGGGCTAGGGTGTGGCTCAGTGGTCGAGCCCCTGCCTAGAATCCCCCAGTGAGGGTCTGGGGTGTGGCTCAGTGGTAGAACCCCTGCCTAGAATTCCCCAGTGAGGGGCTAGGGTGTGGCTCAGTGGTAGAGCCCCTGCCTAGAATTCCCCAGTGAGGGCTGGGGTGTGGCTCAGTGGTAGAGCCCCTGCCTAGAATCCCCCAGTGAGGGACCCTTGAGTTTGATCCCCACCAGGAGAAAGGATAGGGACAGATGACCTCTTGAAAGTTAAAAAAAAAAATCAAACTAAACTAAACTAAAATAAAGTAGGGAAGGTTCTAGACCATTCCTGAAAAGCTGTTTGCTTTTTATTGAGTCATACCCAAATCCATGAGCATGGATTCCGGGAGTGTGGTTTATGGGATCCCAACCTAACCCAGTCCCTGATCACTGTTAAGAGTACTTTATGCTCTTACTTTTTGCTGTTTTGTTTGTTTTGTTTATTGAGACAGGCTCTCTCTATGTAGTCCCGGCTGTCCTGGAACCTACAGAGATCTGCCTGCCTCTGCCTTCAGAGTGCTGGGATTATGTGCATGGACCACCACACCTAGTTTATCCCTTTACCTTTAAAGTTAATGTTATTTTATGTGTTTGGGTGTCTTGCCTGCCTGCATGCCTGTGTACTACACATAGCAGTGCCTTTGGAGGCCAGAAGAGGGCATCAGAGGCCCGGGAACTGGAGTTGCAGGCAGTTGTTAACGACCAGGTGGATGCTGGGAACTGAACTGGGATCCTCAGCAGAGCAGTCAGTGCTCTTAACACCTGAGCCATCTCTCCAGCCCCTTTTCCCTCTGTAAAAGAACCAGAAGCATAGAAGAGAGTGCTGCTTAGGTCACACAGGGTGTAGATGGCAGCGGCAAGCCCACAACACAACTCTGAGGACAGGAAGACACGGAAAATGACAAGATGTGGTATTAGGGACAAGCACACAGATTCTGTCACCTCAGATCAGCTCTGACACCTCTGGCTAGGCCATCTTCAACATGTCCCCGAACCCTCCATTCTCATCTGAAAATGGTTTCCGTGAAGGTGCTGAGCTCAGGGCTCTGAAAATTGAGGGCTCAGCAGTGTGCTCAGCCATAGGACTGCTGACAGCCACATTCGCTACAGATCCTGCTCGCTCCAGGCATTCGGCAGGGCGTGGCAGTGCACGTCTTTAATCCCAGCACTTGGGAGGCAGAGGCAGGTGGATCTCTGTAAATTCGAGGTCAGCCTGGTTTCCATAGAGTTCCAGGGCAGCCAGGGCTATATAGGGAGACACTGTCTCAACAATAAAGTAAAATAATAACTGAGAAAATGTTGATGGCCCAATGGGAGTGTCCAGCTCCACACAATGAGGATGTTAGTCTAAACTGAGAAACCCCCAGACGGCCCTGCTGCCCTATGGTCTCTGCACTCCTGTGCTTCACCCGTGAGCCCTTCCTCCAGCCTATGTCTGTCTTTATCTCAGGGAGCCCCTCATGACTTGGTGTTGGTGCCACCTCCCCCTCAGTGCCCCTAAAGAGCACCTGTTCACTCGTTTCTGTGTCTCTAGAATTTGGGCCTGGACAGGAACACATCAGCTACAGCAAATATTTAAGGAATTAAGAAAAAGAATGGAGTCCATGAATCAAGAATAATATTGGTTCTCAGGCCTTGGAGACTCTCCTGAAATCCTCTCCCTGACCTCTAACTCAGCTCCCCACCAGGGACGGAGCGGAATGCACACATAGGTGCTAACAGGCCCCATCAGCAGGCCTCAAGGCCCCTCAGAGGGGCCATTAGGAGGTGTCTGGCTTCCGTCTGCAAGCCATCTGTCCCTCTACAACTGGCTTGCTGGCTGTTCTCCATGGGTATTTAAGGTCCACTTCAGGTCAGAAGCTCCCTGGGGAACTGGCTGCTAATAAGGGCTCCTAACACCCTCTGGAAACTGTCTCTGAACTTCATGTCACAACGATTAGCTGCCCGGCTCAGTGCTGCCGGGTGTGGGGACAAAGCAGGCTGGAGGCCATGGACTTGGCTGCTGCAAAGAGCGAAGCCACCTGGCTTGTCCAGTCCCCAGGCCCAGCTGCTCCTGCCCACCAGGCCCAGTGTGTAACCTCCTCCATGACACAGTGCTGGCAGGAGGCAGCAGAATGCAATAGAGAGGGCTGGGCTCAGTCAGATGTTCTGCCCAGACAGGGACTTGCAGGGACTTTCCTTACTTTTGTTTCCCTCAGGAAAACAGAAATACTTCATCGCGGAGCAACTGTGAGATCAGGAATGATGCCTAGGAGAGGTCTAGTGCACGGTGGCTCCCAATAGATTACTTTGTTTTGTTTTGGTTTTGGAGACAGAACTTTATGCACCACAGGCTGGCCTTGAACTCCTGATCCTCCTGTTTCCACTTCCTGAGTGTAGGGCCTGTGGTGCAAAGTACCAGACCCAAGCTTTGTGCATGCTAGGCCAGCACTCTACCAATTGAGACAGATCCCAGCCCCTCACGAGCAACTGTTGACACACAAGGCCCACATCTTGACTTAGTCGAAATAGGGATTGGGATTCCCCATGACACTGGATGGGCTCCTTGCTTGGTGCTCAGAGTCGAGGACTAGAGTTTCAAAGGACAGACTCAGGCTCCAGCCTTAGAGATGAGGCTTCCAGTCCTGGCTCTGCCACACGCTTGCTGTTAATTCACCTCTCTGACCCTAGACGTCTACATTTTCAAGGTGGACACTAAACAAGCTGGTGTCTGTTGACACATTAGACAGGCAAGTGTGGCACAACGGCCATTAAAGAGAACCTATCAGAGAACCTGGTTCCCACTGCAGAGCCTGTGTCCGCTGTGTCCTCTTCTACTCTGGCTGGGGCTGGAATGGTGACACCTTGGTCACAGTCTGGACTGCATAGGACACACCCCCAGTTATACTACACTGCCCTGTGCTGCCCGAGGGACTCCTCCCCATCCTGAGAGGTTATGACAGGCGTCGAAGATGTTCAGGGAAGATCCAGTACTAGGGCCTCTCCACCTACTCTCCCTGGCCCCATTTGGGTCACTCACCAGGATAGTCGTGACCACCAGTGTCTTGTTGGCTAGAGTCTGTGACAGGTTGATGTCCAGGGTAGTGGCGTTCATGGCCAGGGTCCTGTTAGAGTACCACACCCCTATCTGGGGACAGAGGGGACATCATCAGTACAAACGCTGTTCATATTCTTGGAAGCTTTATGGGCCACATCCCAGCAGGGCTCTAGTGTCACCCTGGGGCTGCTCACCTCACGGTGGCCCTGGCGGGACTTCTCCAGGATGCGCAGTGTGTAGTTGGTCCTCTGCCCTTTGCTGTTGAACTCAACCCGCCCGGTCAGCCCGTCATACTCTACCTAGCAGGGCGGGAGGCGGGGCAGAGGGAGAGGAGGCGGGGCCCAAAAATAGGCAGAAAAGCCAGGCAGGGATGAGGCAGCCACAGGGAAAGGCGCAGAGACAGGTAAAAGGAACAGAAGGGGCAGGGTCAGAAAGAGAACAAGAGGACGGACGATACATTTGCAAGAGAACGAAAGCAGAGGAGTAAGGCCCAAAAAGCACATAACCCCGACAGGGACGGTGGCATGGACAGACAGGACCCAGGAATGAGGAGGAGGCCCAGGTAGTGGAGAGTCAGGATGGGAAAAGGCAAAGGGTAGGCAGGATAGACACAGTCATTGCCCCTGCCTGAGGCGGCGGCTGCTCCCCACCTCCTCCATGCCCCCTTGCTTCTGGCTCACCATGCGTAGGTAGTTCATGAGGCTGGTCCCATGGGGCCAAATGTTGGCCGAAGTACAGGCCAGTGGCTTGACGCCAATCTCCTGGCTTCGGTTCAGTTCTCGGACGGCGCTTACCACCACATGCACAGCATCAAACATCAGGGCGGCAGACAGCTGAGTGAAGGAGAAGGCAAGGCCGGGCAAGAAAGTGTCAGCCCCCAAAGGCCCCCGTGGAGTCACCCCAACCCTCAGACGCCCCGTCCTTGAGGGTGTGGGAAACTGGCAGGTGGGGTAAGGGATGCGGGATGGACTACGGTGTCTTTCTGGGGACGTGGGTGACAGTAGGGAAAGTGTACTGTCTCGTGCTGTACACGGCCACATCTGTTTGGAGAAGGTCATTTCTGAGAGTCTGTTGTTTTGTTGTTATTGTTGTTTTGGTTTTATAAGACAGGACCTCATGTAGCCCAGGCAGGCCTGGAATTTGATATCTAGCTGAGGCTGATCTTAAACTCCTGATCCCTCTGCCTCTAGCTCCCAAATACAGGGATTACAGGCATACACTACCATGCTTGGCTTGTTTGAGAGGAATTAGCCTCGATGACCAGTTGTCTTCCTGAGACAGCCAGGTCTGCATGGTTAAGGTAAGTAGGCAAGACAGTCACCGGTAACATCTGCGTGTGCCTGGGTCGCACTGTGGTATGGGAAGGATGAACACAGAGTGAGCGGGGAGACAGGAGAGTTTAAGTGTTGATCCTGGCCATCTCAACCCCTTCTTGAGATTCAGAGTCCTCCACTGCAGCATGGAGGAAGAGCTGTCTCCACCCTGAGCACAGCTCTGGGGGCACAGGGATGGCACGCCTTAGAACAAAGGCAAGGGAAGGCAGTGCTGAGAGCTACGTAGTGAGACCCTGTCTCCAAACAAACAAATAAATAAAACAGGAAGTACAAGTGAGATCTTCCAGCCAAGGAGACATCTGAGCAAAAGCTTTGTGAGGGGGTGCTGCTGGGTCTGTGGGAGAATGCATGGAAATGGGGGCGCAGGTGGGGAGTACAAACACCCTGAGGCATGCCTGCCCTGAGAGGTTGAGGGAGACTTGAGTGGGCCACACTCATCACAGCGCCTCACTGAGGTCTTGGGTCCCAGAGGGTTAGTCCTGTTCCCAGAGTCAGTGCGTAGTGTGTCTTAGTGCCAGTGGGTATCTACGCGCTCACCGCAGGCCCAGGGTAGGCGCTGGCTTCACAGTTCTCTCTCCAGGACATGTTGAGACTGCGCACAAACTCCGGGTAGAAGGGATGGGAGGTGTTGAACATGGAAAAGCCCAGGATGTTGGAAGAATCCTCTACAATACCATCCAGATGCAGGATAGGGAAGTCCTGGGACCAAGAAGAGGGGTGAGGCCTGAGGCAGGACTGGAGCCGGGAGGTGTGGTAGGCAGGGATTGGGAGGGGCATAGGTCAGGTACGCACCATGGTGGTGAGGATGTACTTGTAAAACGCTGAGGTCATTCCTAGTTCCGAAGCCTGAAGAAGACAGCAGAAGCCAAGAGGCAGAGAACAGGGAAGGGGGACCCCAAGGGGGGAAGAGAGATTTAGAGGCAGGCTAGTGAGGAGACAACCCAGACAGCAAGAGCAAGCAGGTAACAAGTGAGGGCCTGCTGCGTCCCCAGTGCTGGCCAGGGAAAACAGTTTTCCTAGCAGAGAATGGGGCCCTCAGATGTCTATGTTTCCTATGAAGGCACACAAAACTTCCTGCTGGAGACAGATGGAAGCCTGGGAAAGGGGGCAGGAAGGGACAGAGTCCTTAACCTTACCCCTAAGTCACCCAAAACCATTGGTGCTGCCAGTGTTTAGAGCTCAATCTGCTTGACCATCCATCAGAAAAGCAGCCAGCTGCCAGGCCTGGGGGCATGGGCCTGTAATCCCAGCTACTCAGATGGCTTAAGGTGCTGAGGCTGTAAGTGCAAAGCCTGTCTGGGCTACAGAGTGAGCTTAAGGCCACGCTGGGCAACTCTGAAAAATCTTGGCTCAAACGAAAGTAAAAAGCAGACTGAGGATCGAACTTCAGTGGCAGAGTCCTTGACTAACAGTTATGAGGCCCCAGATTCAACTCCCAGAAACATCAAAAGAAAAGAGGAAGGAGGGAAGGAAGGGAACGGAGAGAGAGGACAGGAGGAGAAGGGAGGGGAGGACGAAGGGAAGAAAAGGGAGCTCTGCAATGGAAGGCAATCAGTTAGAATCTCGGGGTTCATTCTTTGAACCCCCTCCTCCTCATAATCCTTGAGGAGGACAGATTGGATGATACCCAGCCTGACCCCACACGAGAATTCTAACAGTACCTGGCTCCAGCTTGGATTGCTGGGGAGTGGGAGCAGGGCATGGACCCGTGGGTATCAGGGAAGGGCAAGATGGAAGAGAGAAGAGACCTCAAAGCACACAGTTCCACGGGAGAGATCTTTGTCCAGGTGGCCTGTCAACCCAGAACCTCCTCCCTCAGCCCTCTATATCCTCAAGAGTCTGCTCAACACTTCTTCCTGTAGGCTACAATCAGCAGTGACATATGGTTTTAATTAAGAGAAAAATAAATGAAAAACAAATGGAGAAAAAAAATAATACAAATTTGATTATCAAGAAAAATTAAGCGCAGGGGAAGTGAATGAATGATTAATGAGTGCGGCTCACTGATGGATGGGATGTGCTAGGTCCATGGGGAGAAGTCCTGGAACTCTGGGCCCTTGCCTCCAGAACCCCAGCTTCTATGTCTATATGATGTTCAAAATATCAGACTTGCACAGTGGGGATTAGCCCCAGTTAAGGATGTCCATGAACCCCTTAACACAGAGCTCCAAGAAAAGTCCTAAAGTTCTCACATCCAAGGTCAACCTGAACTGCCCGCCCAGAGAGCTCACCTCACAAACGGGCTGAAGGGATGGCTCTGCGGTCAGGAGTGTGTAATGCTCCTGAAGAGAACCCAAGTTCCATTCCCAGCACCCACATGGCTCACAACCACCTGGAACTCCAGTTCCAGGGGAAACCCACACCTCTGGCACCAGCACTTACGTGCACACACCCCCGCACACATATACATAATTAAAAATTATAAATCCTTTTAAAAAGAAACAAACCACAGTGACAACAGAGTCCCAAAGAGGGATGACTCAGACATTTAGTCTGGGCCAATGTGGCTCTAAGGACTTTCCCTGCTGCAAGCTCACTACCCTCACAAGCCAAAGAGGTAGAACCTACTGCTGTCTGCGCTTCACAGAAAAAGAAAGGAACTATCCAGGGAGCTACAAAACAGACAAACCCTATGAAACCCACAACCCACCACTGAAGTATCTGCCCCCCAGTTCTGTGGAAACAAGAGGGGGCTCACCTTACGGAGGACGAGGTGGGAGATGGTCGCGTTGGCATCAATGATGATGGTAGAGACTTTGTCATCTCGGATCTCCTTGAGTAGCGGCGTGGGGTCCCGGCTGTCGTCCAGCATCCTCACTGACAGTGTCTCCTTAGAGATGAGAAAGCCTCGTACCAATTCTTCCAATCGTAGCAAACCTGAAGGAGGGCCGGGCCCCAAGTTAGAGCCCTTCCTCTGCCTGCCCAGGCAGGGAGTACACAGATGTTCCTTCCCCTCTCCCAGCATGGGGCAGCTGGGCCGAAGAAGACTGAAAAATGTGCTAAGAAGACGGAGTGGCTGTCTCCAGAACAGCTGGGACCCTTAGGGCTTGGGGACTTAATGCTTTGAGAGATTCCCTAAGTAAAATCCCCTGAGATATCTCCCCAGATTTCCAGATGTCTGACCCTTTCCTACCCCTTCCTGAGCACACACTGGGATGTCTGACATAGTTAATTGTCTTCTCTGCCCATCTCCGTTCTTCGGGTGACAGGAGATCACTATGTGCCAGTTGCTCAGGCCAGAACCTGATGGCAGGCTGGGTTCTTCTTTATTTTCCGCCCTCACTCACCCAGTCTCTATTTCAAAATACATCAGATGCTATCATGCCACATCACGGTCACTGCCCTGGCACAGGCCACTGCCATCTCTTGCCTCTTGCATTGGCCACGCTTGCTTGAGTCTGCTCCCCACACAACAGCCAGAGGGATGGAAGCAGATGTGGCTCTGCTCTGTGCCAAGTGTCTCATCTCCTGTCATTTAATGTTTCCACTTCCAGCCACATGGGCCTCTTCTTTGTCTCATGGAGTCAACCTTCTGTCCTGCAGCCTTAGCCCGGCTGTTCCTCTACTTGGGACCCCATTTCTCCAGGTTCCTCCACGACTGACCCTCACCTGCCCCGGCTCTTTACTCAGACACTGCCTTCTCTAAAAGGCCCATGCCCACTACTTCCCCCTACCCCATTCCCATTCATACGACATGGACAACCATTTGTGTCTACCTGTCTCATGGCTGTCCTCCTAACATGAGTCTGACTTCAGCAGGTGCTCAGTAGAAACCTCCAGAAAGAGAATTCCTCCTAGAAGTTCCAAAACTCAGTGTCCTCCCCCAACCTCCACACTCACAACCTGCCCCCAGACCACCACACCTGAACATCTCCGAGAACATCACACTCAAGGTGTGCTCTTGAACAGGCTGCTCTCCTCTTCCCTACCGACTTTTGGTGTCACTCACGACCTGAGCACTCTCCCTTACCCCATTTAACTTTTCTCCTCAGGGAGGTCTGGCTCTCCACCCAACTGCCATCATTTCACCTAACGCAGGTCTCCTGTCTCCTGCTGTTCTCTCGGACACTCGTACATTCCTGTGCAGTGTGTCACTTCTCACCACACAGATCTGACCACGTCCCCTCGTCCTACACTGTTGCTTGGAAACCTCTAAGGCATCCCTGACCCTCCCCACCTCACTGTTTCACATTCTTGGGGGTTGTACTCTGGAGCCTTCTACCTCTGTCCCACAAGGTCCAATGTTTCAAGTTCAGTTTAGAGGTAGCATTCTTAGGGTATGGGCTCTCAGCCTCCCACACAGTCAGAACCCTTCCAAAGGACTCACACATCTCCTGGCAGCCCATGTGCCCCTCTGTGTCGTAAACACTCAGTGGCCTAAGGGCCTTCTAGACTGACAGTTGCATGCAAGGGGCAATTACAAGCAAAATGAGATGATAAATACATATGAAAATGTCAAATGAGACCTATTATTTTGTAAACTAACTAAAAATTAAAAACACATTTTTTTAAAGTCATGCACCAGCACTGCCCCCTGCCACCCTGCAAGCCTGGTGAGAGCTGGGCAAAAAGGTTCACCATCAGTGAATCACACAGGTCACTCTGGGACAAGAGGGGTTCTATGGAACCAGGTGCCCCAGTTCCTAAATGGGAAAGAGACAATGGGAACTAAGAAGATGCCTGGTAGAACCAGGGAACTGTGTGGGACATTAGGGCTCTTAGAAAGGGGTGTCTAGAGAGAATGTAAACAGAACAGTCAGTTCTCCCTCACACTCAGCCTTGGCGCAGATGAGGCTAGCCGAGGGGTAGTTAAAAGACTTGAGGATTCGGGAGACCGCCAGGCTGACGTCCTCATTACTGGGGTACAGGCTGACAGATGCGAAGCGAAGGTACTGAAGGCGGGGTGTCTCCTCAGGACCCACCTTGATGTGGGGAATCTGGACAGAAAGGGAGGTATTGCTTGCCAGGGATCATAGCCCCATACCCCAGCCCCCAGTCTCCCACTCCCCACCTCACCTCCTTCTCCCCACAGATATGGCTCACGGTGGAGGCAGAAGCTGGGCTGGAGGAGGGTCCCAGGACAGACACGACCCCCTTGGGCAGTATCTGACACACTGTGAGGGGAAGAAACCAGAGTCAGGGACCCTCTGCTTTTGTTCCCACCCCACCCACAAGAGAACCACCCCACCTGGTTCAGGAGAAGACCCCAGAGGCTCAGAGCTGTGGGATCCTCCTCCACCAGTCTGGATTCCAGGGGACCAGTCCCTGGCCTGCTCAGACAGAGGGAGGCAGAGAGAGACAGACCAAGCCAAGAGTAACATAGGAAAGCATGTGGACACCATGGGACACGTGCATGTGTGCATGTGTGTTTGTGTGTGTGTGTTGAGACAAGGTCTCACTTTACAGCCCAGGCCGTCTTGAATCTTGCTATGTGCTAAAACATCTCCTAGATTCCATCCTGCTCTTCTGTATTAAACAAACTACTGTTTTAAATTAAAAGTTTAATATCTTAACTGGCAAAAATGGGAAGGTGTAGTCATAAAAAGCAGACCGTTCTTCCATAAAACTACTGTAGGATAAGCTTTGTAACAGGGATCCCTAAAATCTCCCTCCTGATAAAGTCATGTGAGTTGTGTCTTTATTCCCACGCCTCCACACTAGCTGAAGAAATAATTCAGGTCCGGGATGGCCCTGGACCACAACAGCTATGTAAACAACTCAACTAAGGCCTTGAACTCAGATTCATCCTGCTTAGGCCTCTAGGCCTGACCACCATGCCCAGCTCTGTGGGCCTCCTTCCGAAGTGCAAATCAGGAGCTGGCTTCCTCTACCTTGCCACTCTACTATCCACAATGCCCTCCTGGTGGGTGAAGCTAGCACTCAAACCCGGTTATGTGTGGGGAATGAGGCAGGTGGTACATGCCTAAGTTGGCCATGCTTAAGTAGGGCAGGGGTACAGAGGATGGAGGGGAGATGGTCGGGAAAAGAATCTGGAGATAAGTAAGAGTCAAGACTAATAGCTCTCAAGAGAGAATGGAAAGAAAGGGCCATTTTCAGGCATGTGGTCTGTGCAAATGGTGGGGCCTTCAACACGGAGGACACAGAAGGAACAAGTTTGGATCGAGATGTGATGTCCTGTTTAGATGCTTTAAGGCAGCCATGGCAGAAACTCAGGATGGTTAAGAGAACAGTATTGGCTGGGGCTAGACGTCATGTTAGAAGACTTGCCTAGGAATGGATGAGGCCGTGGGGGTAATGGGGAGAAAAAGTGAGAGACAGAAAAGATGAGAATATAAATGAGATCACACTGCTAAAAGGGTTACAAACTAATTTCAGACATGGCTACACCTAGGAGCTCATGACCCCCAGGGATCTGTCAGGAATGGCTGGATCCAGCTATTCTATAAACATGCCAGCAATCGCTCTTTAACTCTGGGTCCCTATTTCCTTTGACTTGGCCTCATTTTCAGGATCTGCTCAAACACACACTGACTCCAGTTGGCTAAGATGGTCTCACCCTGCACCCTGTTCCTTGGCTCAACCCTAAATGCATGTCTGTTCTATCATCTGCCTCTTCAGTCTCCACCTCTGATTCTCCCAGACTGTGTCCGAGACGCGCCAGTCCAAAGGCCTGAACAGTCTACCCCACTCTCCCTCTCAGTGATGAAACACCCAAGATCTAACAAAGCCTGTGTAAGACCTGGGGGGAGGATTTGTTTACATGCTTGTTTGTCTGTTGTGCTTGGAGTAAAACCCATGTATTATTTTTTTAATTTGTTCAATTTATTTTTTTAAGATTTATTTTTATTTTATGTGCTTTGGCATCTTGCATGAATGTATGTGTGAGAGTGTCGGATCCCCTGGAACTGGAGTTAGCAACAGTTGTGAGCCGCCATGTGGGTCCTTGGAATTGAACCCAGGTCCTCTGGAAGAACAGCCAGTGCTCTTGACCATCCCCAAACCCATGTATTATGGATGTTAAGCAGAGTTGGGGTTTGATTTAGTTTTTCAGGTAGGATCTTCCTCTATAGATCATGCTGGCCTGAAACTTACTCTGTAGCCAAGATTTAAGATTGGCTTAAAGTTCACCATGACTATCCTGCCTCAGCTTTCCAAGTACTGGGACTAGGGGTGTGAGCCACCAGGCAGGCCCAGCATAAAACAAGTCCTAATACAGAAGGTTACAAAGAGCTAGTATGGTCCCAGTGTAGCTGGGGCAAGTGTTCTGGCAAGTTTTGTCAACTTGACAGAAACTACAGTCACCTAAGAAGAGGGAACCTCACTTGAGGAACTCTTTCTATCAGACTGGTCTGTAAGCCAGTCTGTGGGGTGTTTTCTTCATTAGTAATTGAAGTGGGAGGGCTCAGTCCATTGTGGGTGGTGCTACCCCTGGGTAGGTGGTCATGGTGGTTATCTGAGTAAGCAGGGAGGAGCAAGCCAGTAAGTAGCACTCCTCCATGGTCTCTGCCTCAGTTCCTGCCTGCAGATTCCTGCTTTGAGGTCCTGCCCTGGCTTCCCTCCAGGATGGACTCTCTAACCTGCAAACTAAAATGAACCCTTTTCCCTCCAGGGTGGTTTTGGTGAGTGTTTTATTGGCCAGCAGCAGAGTAGGATATCAGGCACTACCACTTACTAGGACCATGAGCATCAACAGACACCTCTGCAAGCCTTCCCACAGGGCAAGCCAGCTCTGCAGGGTGTGCTGGAACAGTGCCACACTCCACCTCTGCCCACCTGCTCCAGAATGCCCTTCCTGACACACCAAGGATCTTGAAAGCCCCAGGCCTTAGTGCCTGGACCTCCCAACCCAGCAGCATCCACTTCTGTGAAACAGAAACAGGCACGAAGGAAGGACAGCAGGTGTGAGCAGATGAGTGTAAAGTTGAGCTGAGGAGGCCAGGGGTGGAGTGACTGGCCGAGGCCCCACCTGCCCTGCCTCACCCCACACCCCCGCGGCCCCGCTCACTGGTGTCCGTGGTCTCGTACTGGCTGTCCCGCTGCAGCTCAAAGATGTCAACTTCCACTCGGGCCTTGGCTGGGACCTCGATGATCCCGTTGATTTGTTCCCGGGCCAGGGCGAGGGCCAGACGCTCACCGCGGCCACACACGGTCTGGTCGTCCAGGATTGCAGCTGAGAGGAGACAGGAGTTGGGAGGGGCCAGAGTCCTAGGGCCCCCGAGAAAGGGTATCTTGTGGGGTCTTGGATTTGTGGCCTCTAGACTGAAGGGAGATATAGGTACGAAGGGTCTGGATTCCTGGATCTGAGGCTGGATAGCAGAGTATCTGGGCTCCTGGGTCTCAGGGAAGGATAAGCTGGGAGACAGAGCACTTTGGTATTACTATGCCTGAGTTCCCTGGAGGGAGAGTTTCTGAGGAAGTGGGGTGCTGGGGCCTCACCCATGCGCAGTGATGACAGCACCTGGCAGCTGGGGTTGGCGAAGGCAACTATCAGCAGCAGCAGCAGCTCAGCCGGCATCTTCCTCTTCTCCTCATGGGGACGCAGCTGCCGCGGCCCCCACTTGCCACCTGCAGAGAGACCCCCCAGCCCCAAGGGAGATGGCTGATGTGGGGGCAAAGTCTTTTAGGAAAGCTGCTGGATGAGGTGGCAAGGATAGTCCTCCCAGACATCACTGGGGAGGAATGCACAGTTCTGAAAAGGCCTGGCTCACTGGGGACACCAAGCTCATAGAACTGAGCTCCGGAAGATGGAAAGGTCAGAGGTCACTGATAAGACAGTCATTGCTAGAAATTTGAAGAAGTGATTCTGGGGACCGGCCCCACCCCAACAGGAAACTGGGAGGTACCACCATCACCCCAGTCCCGCCCCTGTCTCTGGGCAGGCAGCCGTTACTAGGCAACAGAAACTGGCTAGAGAGGATGCAGTGGTTGCTAGGCAACCCCATCCCAAGCCTCACTTGCCACCTTCCTGATGTCCCTGGTTCCCACAATCCCATGGGGGAGAGGCCTGGGCACCCAGGGTCTGATAGGTGATATCTTGAAATTAGGAAACTTGGTGAGGGGGAAGGAGGAAGGGAAGGAGGAACAGAGGGAGGGAGGAACTCCACATAGCAAAGAACCTAAAAAGAGAATACAGAAGAAAAAGAGGAAAAAAGTATGTGATGAGAAACTGCAAAATGAAAGATGCAGGGACTCAGAAAATGAGAAAAGAAGGGGAAAACAGGCAGATATATATGAGAGAACAGAAAGATGACAGAAACAGCTAAAATTGGAAAGAAACAGAGAAGGGGAGTTGAAGGAAGTTAGAGACAGGACTGGGAGAGAGAGAGGGAGAGAGAGAGAGAGAGAGAGAGAGAGAGAGAGAGAGAGAGAGAGAAGGGACAGGAAGATGTGAAATAAAGGACAGAAACCTGAGGAAGGGGAAGGGGCAGACTGAATAAGGGGACACCAGTGCATGGGGATAGGAGAGAAACTGGAAGAGAAAGACAGAGAACACAGGGACAGGCACAAACTGACTCAAGCAACCAGCAAGAGTCCTACAGAGAGAAAGGAAAGCTGGAACTCATTGCCTGCACCCTTTTCTGGCAGACAGGTATGGTACATGTCTTCACAGAGCCAGTCTCAGGGAGTACAGGTTTGCTCTGGGCACTCCAGACCTTTGGAAGTGTAACCGCCGGGCGGGATGTGTTTTGTCAGATGTGCACATGGATCCCTGGACCTGGTTGCAGACCAGAGGGTTATTGTAGGGCCCGGAGCACTGCAAAGTATGTCTAGTGTTCCCCTGCATCCCACCTGGACCCATAGAAAGACTTCAGCTGGTGACAAGCCAAAAGGAGAAGTACTGGGGAAGGGCAGAGTCCCAAGTAAGGCTTAGAATTGGCTTCTATAGCCAAAACAGTCCAGGCCAAGGAGAAAGGTTGCCTTATCAGTCCTACATTTGCCCCTACTTTCTGGGTGACCTTGAGAAAGTCCTCCCACACACCCCTCAGTCTTTGGTAAGGAGACCCTGAGGGATGGGGGCGGGGGGCATGCTCAATAGACTGGTGGCTGCAGACTGCAATTTAGAGCTAATGTGGGGACTTGACCAGGACAGAGGAGCAAGGAATTCTGGGAGAGCTGGAAGGAGAGTTCTCAAGGGGAAGGGCAGGAGGGAGGGGGGTTCATCCTGGGACATCTGGAACAAGTGGGGATTGGGGACTACAGACAAAAAGCCCGAGACAGGGCAGAAAAGCAGTGACCCACAGGTGGCAGACACAGATGGGAACAGAAGGACACAGACACTGTACACAGACTATAGGTTGCAAACAAACACAGAGGTCCTGGAAGGAACACACAGAAAGGTAGCCTCAAAGCGGTGACTATAGCTAAGTGGGGAGAAAGGACAGACAGACACTAAGTAAGGCATCCACAGCAGGATGCAATTCTTGCACTCTGGGGGCAGGGGAATCACTGTGAGCTTGAGGCTACTCTAGTTTGCATAGGGAATCCCTGGACATCTTGGGTTAGAGTTAGACCCTGTCTCAAAAACAAACAAAGACACAGCAAAGGAGCAGATGAAGAATGCAAGAAGGAGCAGTGGTCAGCCAGGCCCAGGACTCGCACACCCAGCTCAGGTCAGGCAGGTACAGATGGAAACAGAGCCAACCACAGAGGGGAGCTGAGGAGAGGGGGCAGCCAGGCCCCAGGTTGGAAGAGAGACATCAGCAAGGGGAGATACATGCAAAGGACAGGAGCCAAAGAGGAGAAGAGAGAGGCCAAAAGAAGAATAACAACAAGTAGGAGACCCATGGGGATAGCAGGGTGTGGTGTCACACACCTGTAATACCAACAATCAGCAGGCAGAGGCAGGGGGATCAGGAGTTCAAACCCAGCCTCAGCTACATAGTAAGTTCAAGGCTAGCCTGGGCTATAAGAAACCCTTTCTCTAAAAGCAGAACAAACTAATAGAAAGAACCATGGGGAGCAAAGAAAGAAACAAGAAAGTGCTAAGAGAGAGACAGTCTGACAAGATAGACACAGACACACAGAGTGTGAGCAAGGGATGAACTGCACAGCAGCCTAAAGTCGCCCAAAGCCGCCGAGGTCAGAGGGGCAGAAGCCAGAATGAAAAGGCATGTGGGAGAAGCACACAGAGAGAGAGCTGTCCACACAAGCTAGGGAGGGGAACTGAGGCTAAGTGAATGCCCTGGAAAGGCAGAGCAGCCCGCACAGATGCAGAAACTCTCCAGGAGTGCAGAGGATCCCAGCGCCCTCAGTCAAGGGGTCCTGGAAGGTAGTGTGGTTCAGAAGTGGGGAGAGAGACTGGAGGGTGGGTGGAAGAGCCAGGGCAGAAGCCAGGGAACAGAGGAGAGAGCAGTGGATGGGGACAGTTACAGAGGGGAAAACTGGGGACCCAGAGTGGGTCTGGAGGAGGGAAGTTGAAAAGTGAGAGGTGAAGCCTGGAGGTGGAGAGGATCAGGCAAAGAATGGAAAGACAGAGTGGGAAGAAAGAACTAGCATCTCCTACAGAGAGACAGGGTTAGGAGAGGAGAGAAGTTGGACAGGCCCGGGAGATAGGCGAAATGCAGACTTGAAAACGCAAAGGCATTTCCAGGAGACAAGAGGTGAATGGGATGGGGCCTATGGTAAGGCAGAGAAAGAGGAGAGGGAGAGAGGAAATCAACGCACAAGTCAGGAGCCAGTGTGGGTCTGGGACCCAAAGCTTGGAGAAGGAACAAGCCAAGAGTCCCTATGAGGAGCGATATCACGGAGCCAGTCAGCCCACAGGACGGGGGAAGCTGGGACTGAGGGCAGGTGTGAGGTGTATGCCCAGAAGTAAGGGTGAGAAAAGGTCGTGGAGAACGAGACGTTGAGAGGGAGGGCACAAAGCAGTGGGGGAGTAGATTCCTTGCCATCCACGGGGAGCAGGGACTGTGGGGGCCCTGCCAGCCGGGCTAGCCTGGCCTTCCAGGACCCAGGACCCAGCCCAATCCCCGCCCTGCAGACACTTACGGATCCTGGTGGGACGGAGGGCTGGGCTCCCTCGAGGCCCGAAGAACGACAACCAGGAGATGCTCCGATTCTGGGTGCTGGTGAGGCTGGGGCCGGGGGAGAGGGCAGTCCACTGGGCCCCCTCCCCCGCCGCCGGTGGTGGCCCCCAGCTAATCCAAAACGATGTCTCCCCAGCAGCGGGGAGGAAGGACAGGTGGAAAAGCAAAGGGCGGGCCAGGAGGGGAGGAAGGGGAAAGGAGAAAATGGAGGAGAGAAGGGGAGAGAGGAGAGGGGGAAGGAGCAAACGGAGGGGAAGGAGGGAGGAAAGGAGGAGAGGAAGGTGAAAACGGAAGGGAGGGGGCACAGGCAAAGCCGGGGGAGGGGGAAGCCGGCCCAGGAAAGGGCCCCCGCCCCCTCCCCTAGCCGGGCCGGCCTGGGGGGGGCACAGGGGGTGAGGACTGGGTGGAGAAAAGAAAGCCGGCCAGGGGGAGGGGGGGGGGGGGGGGGGGCGGGGGGGGGGGGGGGGGCCCGCCCCCTTCCCCCCCTCCCCCCAGAGCCTTGGCCCTGCCCTGGATGAGGCTAGGGCCTGGAGTCCTCAAGCCCTCAGTCCCCACGGGAAAAGCATGCTTGGGGACCAGGAGAGGCCGGGCAGTGACCGGGCTGGCGAGGACAGGGTAACTGGCAGCCCTGGACAGACCAAGAAGGGGGCAGACGAGGTGGAGGGACGAGGTGGGAGGAGAGGATGGAAAGAAGCAGGTGGAACGGGAAGGCGGAGGAGGGTGGGGTGTCCCGGGGGCGGCCCGCTCTCGGTGGGAGGGCCTGGCCGCGGACTCTGGTCCCCTGTGAGCAGTAGCCGCCGGCGGCTCCGTGTCCCCAGCCGGGCTTGCCTCCCTGCTGCCGGCCGGCCGCTACTACCGCTGCCACCACCGCTCCTTCTCCCCTCCTAGGCCGCCGCCTGCCCGCCCGCGCTGGGTCCTGGAGCGCGGGGGGTGGTGGTGGTGGTGGCGGTGGAGGGGAGAGATGGAGGGAGGGAGGCAGGGAGGAGGGCGGGCTGGAGGAAGGGAGGGAGGCAGGCAGGGAGCAAGGAGGGAGGGGAGTAGGGGAGGGGGAGATCGTATTGGTCGGGGATGGGGGCCCTGCGAGGAGAATGCTGATGAGAAAAGCAGGCTGCATTGGATGAAGGGCCCACCCCCGGGGCCACCCCCTCCAACCACACCATGCCACCGCCCTGCCCAGGCAGTCCTGGGTACTGGAGCCCATGGAGATGAGAGGCATTGGTGGGGAGAACTGAGCGAAGGGCCTAGAGGTGGGGAGAGAGGACTACAGATGGAGAAAAATGAAGAGAAACAGAGAGGTGGGCCAACTCACAAGGCCAAGGACAGGAAAAAAGCCCAGACATAAAAAAAAGCAAGCCACTTGAGGACAAGCGAGAAGTTTAGGGACACAGGGGTGTCTGAAGGTGGGGAGAGGCCAAAGACAGAGGGTCAGACACAGAAAGGCTCCTCGGGATAGGGAGCCATACACAGAAAGGGCAACCAGGAAGCATACACAGAGCCCAGAGAGCAAGGAGAGGTTACTGAATCAGGGGACAGTCCTACGGGCACAGGAGACCCACAGAGACAATCATGTGGTTCATAGACACAAAAGGCCCACTGAGGCAGGCATGGCTAGCTGGTGGAAATGTAACTGGATCCCCTCTGGAAACAGGCTGAGGATGTTAAAGGGGGAAGGATAGGAATTCTCCATTATGCACTGAGAACTCCTGGGGACCCACAGAGATGAGTGGGAAGGGAGAAGAGACCTTTGTCTTCTCGTCACCTGAGCAGTGAGCCAGTGGGAAGGGGATGACAAAATGGCAGGAAACTGGAGAGCAGAGCCAGAGCTGAGAGAAGCCCTTTCCGTCAGGGAGTTCTGCTGTCTCTCTGAGGGAGCCCAGAAGGGCAGGGGGATGGAACAGAGAATCAACATAGATCTTCAAGTGGGGGTGGTTGGTGCATGGCTGGGTGTGTGTGTGGGGGGGGTGAAATTTGGGGGGAAGGAACATGACAGTTGGTGCTGAAGGCTGAGCCTGTGACTCACCACCACCCCCATGCTCGTGATGGGGAGGAGACACTGACACTCTCACGTGCAGCCCCCAGCACATGTGACCACATGCCTCGCACACACAGTTGGCACGTGGCAGCTCAGACTATACCAGGCCTGGCATGGTGAGCTCTGACTATGTGGGACATGCGTAAAAGACATGTGACACATACACCTGACCCTAAAGGACTGATTTCGTATATACCTCTTTATCCTATTAGGGCTAACACGGCCTCCTTAACTCTGCTCCAACCAAGCTTATGGCCAGTACCTGTGCCTCTAGGTCTTTGCTGATCCAGATACCTCACCATCCTCCATCTCTAGATATAATCTGTCCCCAAAGTCCCAATCCATTGCTACCACCAGAATGTCTGAACAGGCCTCAGCTTCCTTTGCAGGGACAGTACCTTGTCAGCCCAAATTAAGTTGAGATAGCCACGCAAGTTTATAGAGAGGAGCCTGAGAAACTAACCTGGAATCTCAAGAGGGGGAAAAAAAAAA